GGGATGGATTAGGTAGATTAAAACAAAGACTCGAACTAAGGCTGATTCAGAGAAACTTTGAGTTGATTCCAGAAAATTAGGCCACTTTGTTTTATCAGCAATTACTTTCAGCAACTACACTTCTATCTCTAGTTTAGATATAACTTATAGAAATACTTGTATGCTGTGTGTTAATAAGCTAATATTAGATATACACACATATTCCCTCTTCGTGAGAAAGTTTCATTCCTGGTAGCATTGATTTCTAAAAGCAGATAAATATAAGGTGTACATTTAGGTAGCAAGATACTTCACTGGTATAAAGTCTGAAAACAACTTTAATATTAATAACTAGGCTGTTTCTCAATCTGACACTGAGGGTCATACAGATTATGGATTCTTGGAAGAAAAGGGATTCATAAAAATAAACATTGAAATTGGACAATGTGATATCAGCATAAGACTTAAAGAGCAAACAATATTATTTCCAGTTTTGGAATTTGTTTGATTTCCATTAAAATAAAGACCCTCCATATCATTAAATAAACTTCAAATTAGAAGAATTTCTCTATTTATGAACACAAACTATTGCCAGACCTCCTTAGCCTAATTCCCCAGGAAAAAGTGAGTGCTCTATATGCCCATTCCACAGCCCCATGATGCAGGACAATCATATGCAATAGGGAGGCAAGTCAAAGCAGGAACTCAGTTTATTACTGTGAGTGTCAGCTTATATAGGTTAAGTGACATCGTGTGATGTGGGGGTACTTCTAGCCAATGAGAGACAGCCAAGCCCTCCCTCTGGCTGGAGGGACATCTACCTAGATTTTGCTGTCTCATCCCTCGTTGGTAGCTTTAGGACTATCCTTCAAACTTGAGCCAGGCTTATCTCTGTCCTACAGGCCTCGAGGTACAGGCCCTGAGATATTTCTGGCCTAAACAAATCACAAATATTTATGAAATAGTCTCCATGTTATACTGACATAACCACTGAAAATGTAGGGTTATGGTTTTTAGCTATTGTTATTATTNGGGACGCAGCCCCGCCGCCGCTCATATTTCAACACGGCATTACTCAATCATATGCCTAAACCAACTCATTTGGAAAGAAAAGTAAGGAAACAGTAACATCCTTATTAAGGTAGTTTATATTTGAAGGTCGATGTTTTGAAAAGAGTGGTTTAACATGTGGGCATGCAAACAGAAGATATGCCCATTTTGAAAACAATGAATGAGAAATTTAGAAGTCCTGGAGTACATTCAACACATTTTATTGCACTCACGGGCACACAGCTTTATTTAAGACATGTTTCCACTTTTAAACAGTTCAGCAGACAGAGGAAAGAAAGTATGTGTTTTGCAGAGAGATGTCTGCCGGCTTTGTAAACACATTATTTTGTAGGCTGATTCCTAAGGCTGGCAGGCTGAACAATTTTTCTTGAGAGAGTGTATTAGAACTGTCATATTAGAGCATAAAGGATGTAGTGTTAGATTGAAATACAATTATTTTCTGCTGACTCTTCAGGAGACCATTCAGTGTAGCCCACCCACCCCATCCCACAAATCTACATATGTAATTTGACACTTCTTATTCACAGGAGGTCCAACTAATGGGGGAGTAGAGCTAATGGAAGTCAGAATAATAGTGCCTAGGTGTAGTATTTGCATAATGAGTTTAGAATTGACAGTACATTTCTAGCATCCAGAAGGGGTAGCGTGGTGAAGTAAATGAAATCCTGAAGTAACAGCAATAGATCATACTGCACTGTGTGCGGCAAACCTTAAGCAATTTGAAAGGTTAATGAACAAAGCAGTGGTTCCCTATGAAAGCCCCCAGAAAATAGTAGCAAACAAAAAAAAAAAAATGAAGCTGCCGAGAGCATGAGGAAATATCTATAGAACTTCAACTTGGGTTTTCTATCCCCTGTGCTCTGTGGATGAAGCAACAGCAGCTTCAACATAAGGCATGTGTTAAGAATTAATAATTTGATGGATTAATTGCTTTAAGTCTTTTGGTCTCAAGCCAGCTATTTCTTTTAACATCATTAATCCTCAAGAAATGCTATGTACTACACTCATTTCCGCTGAAACCATGCCAGTTTAATGTTACAATGTAATATGCAAACAAATATGTGTAGGAATTAATAGCTATTGTTATTATTATTATTATTATTATTATTATTATTATTATTATTATTGAGACAGGGTTTCTCTGTAGCTTTGAAGTCTATCTATTCTGGAACTAGCTCTTGTAGGTCAGGCTGGCCTCGAACTCAGAAAGATTCATTTGCCTCTGTCTTCCAAGTGCTTGTATTAAAGACATGTGCCACCACCCCTTGACTTTAAAAACTACTGTAATTTTCCCCAACTCTGTCACCCACTGCCCCATGCTGACTTTCCATTTCCTCCAGCAGTCTCTCTTCTCATGTTACAGATACCGCCATTTCTTCTTCTCACCTTTGTGCTCCCTCACTTCCTGTGAGCCACGCTTCTAGTCCCCTTTCTATTCTTCCCATTTCATGTTCTCTTTCTCCTTCTTGACCTGAGACTACACACACACACACACACACACACACACACACACATCACACCACACCACACAATTTTAAGTCTAAATTTTATGTATGAGAGAAATCATACAAATTTCTATTTGTGAGTCTTGCTTATTTTGCTTCATTTAACAATGATTTATTGTTCTGCCCATTTTTTTCTGCAAATGTCACAATTACATTTTTGTCTATAGCTGAAGGACATTTTGTAGGGGATACCCTATAATCTGTATGTACCAATCTCTTGATAGACATCTAGACTGACTCTCTTTCCTAGCTATTATGAATGATACAGCAATGAGCACATGTGAAAATGTTTCTTTAGTGTGACTTAGGCTTCTTCAAATCAGGTCATAGAACTGGGTTGTTCAGCTGTTCAATTATTATTTTCTTGAGAAAATACAATTCTGATTTTCACAATGGTTTAATAAATTTTCATTTCTACCAGCTGGATCCAAAGTTTTCTCCTTTCCCATATCATGGCCAGGATCAGTTGTTGTTTCTTTAGTATTGACTGTTATGACTTGGACATCTAATTGTAAAGCAATAATCCTTTATTTTTTGTCGTAATCTTAATTTAAACATAGAAACAAGGTTTTGTCCATATTTGAACTTGATAAGTTCTTTTTAACAAGTTTCTTGGGCATATCATGAATCTACTCTTGAATGTTAGTCACTTCTCATTATACGTTCTGCAAGAATGCCAAATCAAGTTTTAATAAAAAAGAATATTAAACTTTAAAGAGGATGAAGAATAGTCTCCTGCCTTTGTAATACTCTGTAACACTCCATTTAAAGAATATGGCTACTAATGTACTTCATGAGAGCATAATCATCTGAGTGAGAAATTAAACTGTACCGTCGTATGATTCTAAATAGTAGTTTTAAATGATCTTAAATGAAAAAATACTTTTCTGTCTATATTATATTTTCATATGTGTTTGTCAGATTTTTCTATAGCTAAGTTTGCACTTTTATATAGCATTTTGTATTTAAATATGCGAGCTCTAATTTAGTGTCCTGAACTCATCTATTCCTAACTAAAAAACTCATCCTGAGAATATCATTAAGTTAATGACAATGTTCTTAATAGTTGTATAAAACTCACTTCTGTGATTAACATAATATATATGTAATATAAATAATTGATATAAAAGCTAGTCATTTTATTGTTAGAGTTCTTTTTCTTAACTCAAAATAGTTTAAATCAATGCTTAATTTTACCCAACATACTTTTTTAAATTTATTTATTTATTTATTGAAGATTTCTGTCTCTTCCCCGCCACTGTCTCCCATTTCCCTCCCCCTCCCCCAAACAAGTCCTCCTCCCTCGTCAGCCCAAAGATCAATCAGGGTCCCTGCCCTGTGGGAAGTCCAAGGACCACCCATCTCCATCCAGGTCTAGATCAGGAGCAGAAGGAGAGAGAGCATGAACAAGGAACTCAGGACCGCGAGGGGTGCACCCACACACTGAGACAATGGAGATGCTCTATCGGGAACTCACCAAGGCCAGCTGGCCTGGGTCTGAAAAAGCCTGGGATAAAACCGGACTCGCTGAACATAGTGGACAATGAGGACTACTGAGAACTCAAGAACAATGGCATGGGTTTTTGATCCTACTGCACGTACTGGCTTTGTGGGAGCCTAGGCAGTTTGGATGCTCACCATACTTTTCATTGTACAGCAAATTGGCATGTATTAGGATGTATAAAACCAAATAAACAGCAATAAGAGGTATAAAACCAAATAAACTCTTTTTCTCCCAAGTTGGTTTTGGTTGTTTATCATAGCAACAGTAACCAAACTAGGAGAGCCCTGTCTCAGGTGAATAAGAGAGAGGTAGAGATCATACATGGATATTATTCTAAGACATGCACATGAATCTATGTGCTCTTCCAAACATGCACACACACATACATGTATATATGTGTGCATTTATATGCATATATCTACATGTATTCCAATACAGCCCACAATTGTTTTATATTAATAAATAAAATACAGCACTCGGGAGGCAGAAGCAGGCAGATCTCTGTGAGTTTAAGGCCAGCCTGGTCGTCAAGAGCTAATTCCAGGACAGGCTCCAAAACAAAACTACAGAGAAACCCTATCTTGAAAAAACAAATAAATACATAAATAAATGAACAAATAATCAAAGTAACTTACTTAATGCTGAGATAAATATATTTGTGCTCAGGAACTCTATCACAGCTTGACACATATCCGCAGTGTGACTGCGAGAATATCTGCTTTAGATCTCCTAGATAAGAATTTTCTGGGTGGTAGTTGTTTAAAAGAGAGAGAAAGAACACAAAGCTGTGGGTGGCAGGAGGTGGGAGTATCTGAGGCTGCTGAAGATGCGGGACAAACCTGATCAAAACTTAGCTAATGAAAGTAAATAAATTATTAAATACATTAATGAAAAATGTGGCACTCTCTGACCACCCTTGACAACACTCTGTTTCTTTCCAGGCAAACCTGTGATGATAGTGACAGAGTATATGGAGAACGGTTCCTTGGACACATTTTTAAAGGTAAGACGTGGCTTGACTTGAGCTGTCTATGGCCACATGGATTTTGCCCAAGGAATGAGGTTAAAATTGAACAGTCTTAATGGTAAAGTTTTAAATGGATTCAAAATATGTTAGCACCATTATACTCCACAATAAACTGATATTTGAAAGGCATTTATTTCAGAAAAGTTATATTAATCCAATTAAATGGTTATGTAATTTTACTTAAGTAGATTCTTACTTTAAATAAAATGAAAGTAGAGATAAATAAAGGAAAAAATTAAGGGAGATAAGGAAGAAAGAAAATGTTATACAAATACTCAAAATTATGAAATAATTTTATTTATACTCTGAGAGTTTCATACATGCACATGATTTTTTGTCATATTTGCCCCATTCCCTTCTCTAAAGTACCTTCCACTCCTACTGAACATTTTCTTCTTACCAGCAAGTTCTGCTCCATATTCTCTGACGCATATGTGTACGTGATCACTGCCTTCCATTTGTGTAGCTTGAATAATCAGAGGAGGCAAGTCACTTGCTGGTCATGAACAACACTGCATTTAAGATAACAGTGCCCCCCTTTCCAACAAGCATTAGGGAGGGAAGGATGTTTGTTGAGACCTTCCCCATCCTTGATAGAATATTGAAAGATGCCATTTTGTATAGATTCTCTGCAGATGGCCACAGCTGCAGTGAGTTTGCTTGTGCTGTGCCCATCCCATGTCCAAAAGACAGCATTTCATGGCACTCCTTCTCATCCTTCAACTCATATATTCTTTTTGCTTCTTCTTTTGTTATGCACCTTCTCCTTGACAGGGTGATATAGGTATACACAGTTGTTGATGTGTATACTAATGGACAGAGAAAATGTGTCTAAAATATCCATGCAGGTAATTAGTTAAGATGCCAAACTGGAGTCTATAAGCATCATGGGCCCTTTAAGGGGGTTCAGTAGAAAAGTCATCAACCAGATAATATAGCCAATATTATCAGGCATTTTGGGTTTGAGGATTAAAAGAGTTCTATGCACACCTCCCAGTTTTAAATATTGACAACTTGCTTTACTCATGAATAATTTCTGTTAAATGCTGTAACATTTTATATATGAGTAACCTATAGTCTGGTGATATAAATTCAATGTAGTGGGTGTTGCTTCTGGTGAGGAAAGGTCCTGTTATAAAATTGGTGACAACTTTGAATGGGGCCTGTGCACGGATCATGGCAGCGTTTCATTTCTATGTAAAGTTTCTGTTTTAATCCCCAACCTGCACCAATGTACCAGCTTCTTTCCAGTTCACTTCTCTGCACTCACAAGTTTTCCAGTCTCTTGGATTTGTATCATCACTTTATTCAAAATAATTCAAGCTATTACTTAAGCTTTATGAGTTCATTTAACTTTGTTACATTAAATGCCTTTGACAAAAACAACAGACTTCTAAGAACTGTTGATATTTTCCCATCCAGTGCTCAGTAATTATCCCTGCTCTCATCCACACTGCAGAGACTCCTGAGTTGCCTTGGGCCATTTCATGTTTACTTCAATAAGTTTATCTAGATAGCTTTTAAATTACCTCATTGTATACTCAGTGTTAGCCAAGGTGGGCTCTATTTTGCCGCAATGAGCAGATTCCTCTGATTTATGACAGAAAGAAGCTACAATGTATGAAAAGGCAGCAATGTGGATTATTTTAAATGACATATACTTTTTTAAATAGTCTATAACATGAGGTACAATATAGCATACAATGATATGCATGCTATGTGCTTAGCACTATTAAGCAAAGAATACAGATAAGAAGATATGGTTACACTTGAGTAGTAAAAGAACTACCTACAGAAAAAAGAAAAGAAGTAATTAAAAGTAGTATTATTAGGGAATAACACAATTCAACTATGGGTGGTCCATGTTTTCCTCCTTGCACACTATTTTTTTTTTCAAATTTAAATATGGACTTATTACTTTTATTACTAGAAAAAAGAATCTGTTTAAAACCATCAGTGGCACGCAATCTCTGGCACTAGAATAACACAAAGTGTAAATTAAGCACACCTGAGTGTGTTGGGACAAACCGTTAATGGTGCCACTTGGGTGTGGATGTAGGTAGATCTCTATGAATTCAAAGTCAGATAGAAGTCAGGAGAAGTAAGTAAAATATATTGAAAATAAATGAATTAGTTAATAGTAATTTCAATTGAACAAAACATAACTTCTCACAATTTAAGTTTTCAAGTAATTATTGATAGTAGAGAGACATATACTATCAGAGCTATTATCACGTCAAGACCCAAAATGTTTGTCTCTTAAATAAATAGAAGACATAATGACATATTATTTTGTGTGTCTTCTTTATGTCAGTTTTAATCAATATTTTTGGCTTATTCTGCTTAATAATTAAGGATTGCATATCAAATACTTATCAAAAGATAGCACAACTCTAATAAATTGCTTCATGGACCACTCATCATGTCTATTTCTTCTTCCTGTAGTTATTTTCCCATTATATACAACTCCTTATAGAAAATGTACTCGAGCCTTTGCCCTGAACGTATATATCTATACAACTATGTTAAAACATGTTGGAATATGTTAAAACCCATAGTATACACCTATGTTAAGACATGTTGGGAGAGTGTACATTGTTGTATAATTTCTGTTGTATAATTTTTTGATAGGCAGCTATATTCAGAAGATAACTAAAACATTATTTATTTATTTGATTCTTTGATGGTTTCAGATATGCATATAATGAATTTTAGTCTTTTATATATCCTATTACACTGGTTTCTCAATCTTTATTCATACACTGAAACTCTCTTTTTAAAGTGCCTCTTTTTAATGTGTACATGTCTGTGCATGTGTTTGTGTGCTGCATGAGATTTTTGAAGGACTTTCAAAGTCTTTGCCGGGTTTGACCTGATCAACACAATCAGTTAAATTTGTGGTTTCTAATGCAGTCCCTCCTCCTTGAGTAGAAATTGCATTTTCATTCTGAAAGGTGCTAACAGTAATTTGAAAAATGAAAGAAGGCTTTTTCCAAATTTTACTCCTGTGAATCGTACAGCTTTCCTAACGTTGCACTGTCTTTGTAGAAAAACGATGGCCAGTTCACTGTGATTCAGCTTGTTGGCATGCTGAGAGGCATCGCTGCAGGAATGAAGTACCTCTCTGACATGGGCTACGTGCATAGAGACCTTGCTGCGAGGAACATCTTAATCAACAGTAACCTTGTGTGCAAAGTATCTGACTTTGGGCTTTCTAGGGTACTGGAAGATGATCCTGAGGCAGCCTACACCACAAGGGTAAGATCTAACAGAATGAATTTTTCACATGCTAGACTAGAAGCATTTAATTTTTAAAGATGTTAAAAGAAGTAGCAAAAAGGGCATTCCTCTAATGAAGTCACGAGGAGATAGAGGAATTATGGGAGAAAAGGAGAGAAAACTGAAAATCCAATTCTACATTTTTTAGTACCAGAAAAATCAAATATTAAACTTAGATTATAAAATTATTCACATTCCTAGTCTCAGTAATTAATTTATTTTTCTTAGGGATGTTGTGTTGGCTAGATATATGTCAACTTAACACAAGCTACACTCACTGGAGTGAAGGAAGCCTCAGCTAAGAAAATTCCTACATAAAACTGGACTTCAGGGAAGCCTGTGGGGCATTTTTTAAATTAGTAAGACTTGAGGAAGGCCCTGTCACATTGTAAGTAGGGCCATTCCTGGGCTGGTAGTCTTGTATTTTATAGAAAATAGGTTGAGTAACCCATGAGAAACATCCAGTAAGCAGCACCCCTTTATGGCCTCTTCATCAGCTCCTGCCTCCAGGTTCCTTTCCTGTTTGACTTCCTGTCCTGATGTCTTTTAATAATGACCATTGTTGTTGAAGCATAAAACAAATAAACCCTTTCCTCTCCAAGTTGCTTTGGTCATGGTGTTTTATCATGGCAATGGTAATCCTAACTAGGACAGACGCCAAGAAAAAGTATTCTGAATTCATGAATGATGTCGTGTGTGTGTGTGTTTTATAGAATGTTTAAAAGTAAAAGAATAGTAAAATACAGAATTTTATATTAAACATTTATGTTTACATGGTGTGTATATAAAGAATGAATATGGTTATATGCACATACAAATTTGTATAGATAGTATTATTGGGAAATTTAATTAATCTTTACTATAGTGTTTTCTACTGTGAAATAAATTAAAATTATTTTATTCTTCATCTCAAGAGTTTAATTTGTGGGTAAACAAGTTTCATTTTTTTTAAGTTTTTATTTTCTAGAGGGATTAAAATGTCTCACTACTTGATTTACAAAGTATAAGAACTATTAAGCCTAAGTCTATGGAAAACTGGTTATTACTCACAGTGTAATAGCTATCATAAATATGCAGCTTACAGAAAGCTAAATAACTGAAATAAAATAACTGGAATAACAAAGTATAAGATTAGCTGAGGAGAGCAGGGACTGATGTTATAAAAGGAGTTTGTGAAAAAGTTTCTTTACAATTTTAAATTTTAAATTGAATTTACTTTGTGTTAAAATTCAAAAATTTAATTGAATTATTAAGAAAACCTCTTAATAAATGTTTGAAATATTTTGTTGGATATCCTCAACTTCAGAATTATTTGTAGGCACGGGGATTTATTGTATGTTCCTTCTCTGTACAAATGAGCTAATTGTGTTCCAATGCAGAAGAACACTTTTGCCACCTCTAATTCTTAAATTCATGTATTTCATGTTTCCTTATTAAATTCTCCTATAATATTGGTAGTCTAATAAAAAGTTCTTTACTGTATTATATGGTTAGATAGTTCCAGTTTGACAACTTTGACTTGTGGCACATGGATTTGGAGGGATTTATACCATGATGCAGAGCAAGAGTAATTTGTTTAAGCAACCAAAGACTTCCAAAGGTCATCTCATTAAACCAATGAACTAATTGATGCGATGTTTCTACTTTCCCACATCTAACTATTACAGTGTTATTTCATTAAATAAAACCTCAATTAAGAACTCTTCCCGGGTTAGAATTGCACTTAATAAAGTTGGGGTAAGAAAGATTGAGGTTATGAAAGGTCTGTTGCTGCTGTGATGAGTGACTGTCTTAGGTAAATAGGAGCAGCTACCCCAAGGCCCTTGCTACTGTGTTATGATGCAGCACCAGTGGAAGAGCCCGGGACCCTGATACTTTCAAGCCTCCCTTTTAGAAATGGGGTGTGAAAGCGGTAGAAAATATAAGTAATGAGACCTATCAGGTAAGTGAGCCTCAGAAGTTAGTGATGCGAGCCTTGCTCCAATGAACAGGAGAACAATTTAGAGCTGACACTCAGCAGAATCAATGAACTACAGTCTCGAAAAGGCAATTTAATCACATGTTGAAGAACAAGACAATTCACCTCCAATCCAAAAATTCAGGGTACCAAGGCGATTAGATTGCTGCAAATCCTGATCTCAAGGCCAGCCTGAATGACAGAGCAAGATTCTGCTTCAGGTAGCAAAGCAGTATAAACTTATCCAAGGCCCTGAAGAAATGGTTCCATTGTTAGGAGCACAAACTGCTCTTATAAAGAATGTCAGTTAGGTTCCTAATAGCACATAAGGCGGCTTAAAAAAACCTATAACTAGCTCCAGAAGATGTGGGAGCATCTGCCAACACCTGTACTCATGTGCATCCCCCCTACATATATATATATACTTAAAAATAAAAATAAATCTACATACAAATGAAAATAATACCAAAGAAAACAAGCATATTACAACTCTGTGTGATGCAACGTTCTATTAAACAAAACAGTTTCCAAAAAATTTCCGGTAATATTACCATATGTGTGCATGTGTTTGTGTGTGCATAAAAAGATTTAGCCTAGGCCAGGCGGTGGTGGCGCACGCCTTTAATCCCAGCACTCGGGAGGCAGAGGCAGGCGGATCTCTGTGAGTTCGAGACCAGCCTGGTCTAAAAGTGCTAGTTCCAGGACAGGCTCCAAAACCACAGAGAAACCCTGTCTCGAAAAACCAAAAAAAAAAAAAAAAAAAGATTTAGCCTACATTTTATCCCTTTTCAAATTTCAGTCATGACATAAAACTTATTTTCTTATATATCTAAAAAGTTTTCCTAAAAAGTTTATGTCTCTTTTCTTGTACCCTAATGTTTTCACTATTCTTTCTACAAAATAGGTAGGTGTGAATTAGTCTTTTGGTAAGAAAATCTGTCTCAATATATATTAGCAAGTACATGAAAAAATAACTGTAAAATGTGATCTTTTTGAGTACCCACAATCTTTTGAGTAGTTAAGTTAAGCAATGGTGTTTCTTAGGTTCAATATTCTAACTGATAAACACTAAAGTATTGGGTTAAGCTAAGAGGTGGATAATCAAGCCTTATAGAAATAAAACAATGTCGAGGAAAAGCGACCTTTTAGCACGTAGAATTTTCCTGCTTTTCTTATAAACTTTTAAACATCCCAGGGTTTCATTGAACAACAAGTCATGCAGAGTATTTGAGTCCTTTACTTTTACAATGCTGAGCGTTCACCTTATTGATGTGCCCGAGTGCCTCCCTCCCCTCATCAGCTCTGCCATCCTGAGCACTCTAATTGAGATGTAGGTCCTGTATGCCTTCCAAGAGTCAAACAGAATTTATAGCAGAAACCTTCCCGACAGCCAATTAGTTGTTAGTCTACAAGTGCTCATGGGTTGGGAGATGTGAAAAGAGACTGCATGCTGTCAAACTGATTCACTTAAAAATGTTACATCTTTTTCTAGATCTTCTCAAAGAAACTGCAGTATCCCTAGATACCCTTGAAGTATGCTAATGTATATGTATGCACATATATATTATATATATATATATATATACATATATATGTACATGTGTTTTTAATTTTAGGGAGGCAAAATTCCAATCAGATGGACTGCCCCAGAAGCAATAGCTTTTCGAAAGTTCACTTCTGCCAGTGATGTCTGGAGCTATGGAATCGTTATGTGGGAAGTTGTATCTTATGGGGAGAGACCCTACTGGGAGATGACCAATCAGGATGTAAGTACAGGGATTCACTTTCTCCCTCAAGTTGAGAATGAAATGTTTTGTTCTCTGAGTCCATGCTCTTATACTGTTTTAAAATTGTGAAAAAGATAGTTACTTGGAAAATATAAAATGCTTTGTTTACCTTTTGGTACTTTTGTTGCTATGGAAATAATCTTTATGGGAATGCTAAAAATGAAATGAGGTAAAGTAGCATGAGTTGCAGTTGGGAAAAACTTTAGTCCTTTGCCAAGTAGGTTTAGTTATACCACAGTGCTGTTCCACTCGGTTTATGTCAGTATTGTTCTCAAAGATGAAGAAGGAGCGGCCATCTAAGAATGAATGCTGAAATCTAATCTTTGAAATGAAAGATGAACTATATTGCACTCATAACTGATAGAAGTAAATATTCTTCTAACAATAAAAATATAATTAATGTTTAGAATTATATAATTCTAACAGGAAAAGAACCACACTAAAGAATTTTCTTTCCAAGTTCAAATGCTTACGTTATGAAGACAGAACTGTGACCTTTGCTTTAATCATTTCCCATCATTAATATTCAATACACTTTCTTTGAGTCTAGATCATATTAAAATTTGATATTTTTCCCTCTGATAATAACTCTAAAAGTAGCTAGAAGTGTTTAACCTGCAAAGTGTACCATATACCCTTTACCAATGAATAACTCTTTGTAAATCAGAGTACTGAACAATTTTAACTCAATAATGTACTTACTTGAAACATATTTTTTCTTTCTCCAATTATTTTTTATATCCCAACTCTATAGCACATCCTTTCCCCGTACATACCCTCAGGGACTCATAGGCAGATACTATGAGTTTGCAACTCACTTTGTTTACAATGGCAATCACATACAACCATCAAGTCTGACTTTTGAAGCACAGCCAAAACTACATCTCAGGAATATTTCAAGGTATATATCCCAACTGTAGACCATGGAAACCCAAGTTATGTGAATAATTAATAGGACGGCATGGTCAAATATTTGTTTCCTTTTCTTTACCAATATTTGTTCTTGGATTGGTCAGGATTTGTCAAAGTAGAGAAACAGAAACCTGGGAGCATATTTGATTTTTAATGAAGAGTTGTATATATCTGTTCCTTAAAAGCATCTGGGAATTAGTGGCATGTGTTTGCATTCTGCAAAGACACTTGATAGAGTTTCCTGGAAAGAAGAAAGAGGACAATGGAATCTAGCTGACTTCCTAAATCTCCTTTCTCTTGCTGTTCAGTTCCCTCCTCATGAGCCCTTACTTTATCATGTGTGTGTTTTCCTAACAAAGGAAAGCAAGCACAGTCTTGCTAGACGTACTGCACTGATCATTGTTTGGAATTGTTTTCCCACTGTGTTGGCCAGTCTACTTTCTTCAATTTTCCATAAGTAGTAGCAAAAGCATCATCTCAGATTTCCCTAAATTTTTCTCTGGTAGCACCAGGAGATTACATTCATGAGTCACCATTTCCCTCTGTAGTTTCCTACAGTTGCTATAATTGGTTTATTTTGTGTACAGCTCACTTAGCTCCAAAAAGCTACTATTGACTTATACTTCTCTATAGATGAAGAATAGAGGGTCTGTTGTCTTCAAACTTAAGCATTAAGGGATGGAATTATATAAAAATGCCATTCAATTTCATAATTATGTGTATATGTGTCTATATATGCAATTTGTATCTTAAATATTTTTAATATTGTATTTATATATGTAAACTTAAATAACACAATAAAGAGATGTTGTCATTATTTTTCTTTTATAGTGGATAACTGGGGCTTAGAGAAGATTAGAATTTTCTTAATGTCATAAAATAATAAAATTTATAGCAGACATATCAACTTATTTTCATGCTTTCTAAAATATATGATTTATAGCAATGACTATGATTTAGAGCAACTGAATTATTATGCAATTCTGTTTTTACATTTCAATCATATCAGTCTTCTAAATGAATGAGTCATGTAATGTTCAATTCAATAGATAGAAATTAATCTGAATTTAACATGGCTAGACAAAGCCTTGTTTTTTTATAGTTTTTTTCCACATAAATGCCAGATGCTCACATCACCTTTGAACCAACACAGTTTTGTTTTTAATTTATTCACCAAGCCTCATTTTTTCTGTCTTGTCACAAATACCTCAAATGAAAATACATCCTATTAATCTATTTCAAAGGAATATGATTTCCCTATTGTCAGTCTCTATAGTTTCTACCCACTCCTGAGATACTTTGACACCTGATCCATTAGACATTTCTAACTGTGCAATGGATGTTCAATCAATATATATCAGGTATTGGCAATTATATCAGTTAAGTTAAAATTGCAATAAGTTACACTTAATATTGTAGCAAGTGAAGTTAGAGATCAAACAAGAAGACTCTGATGGTAGATGAATGTCGTGGAGTGCTTTTGTGGACATTCTCTAAACTTGCCTTTGGTACAGAGAAAAGAAATTTGTATTAGTACAGCTTTATTTTTCTACAAGTCTCTCATCACCCACCAAAACCCAGCAAGAAAGCCAAAAGCTAATATCAATTTCTTAATTCACTAGTATTTTGACAATTTGACGCAAGTTTAGAGCCATCTGAGGACAGAGAACAACAACTTTTAAAATTGCTTCTGTAAGGTTGGTCTTTAGTCAGGACTGTGGATTATTTCCTTAATGCTCGCTGATGAGGGAGGGCCAAGCATATTGTGGGTGGTGGCAGCCCTAGGAAGGTAGTCCTGAAATTTATAATAAAGCAGGCGAGAAAGCCATTAAAAATAAGCCAGTAAGAAGCACTTTTTTATTTATTTATTTTTTTATTTATTTATTTATTTATTTATTTTTTAGAGATTTCTGTTTCTTCCCCACCGCCGCCTCCCATTTCCCTCCCCCTCTCCCGATCAAATCCCCCTCCCTTGTCAGCCCAAAGAGCAATCAGGGTTCCCTGCCCTGTGGGAAGTCCAAGGACCACCCACCTCCAGGTCTAGTAAGGTGAGCATCCAAACTGCCTAGGCTCTCACAAAGCTTACATGCAATTTGAGTCCCTGCCTCCAGGTTCCTGCCTTGAGTTCCTGCCCTGGCATCCCTCAGTGATGGACTATAGACTTCAAGCTGAATTAGACTCTTTGCTATCAAATTTCCTTTAGGTCATTCTGTGTCATCATGATAGTAGAAACCTGTGACATTGCCAAGTTTCCTCAGTGTAGAAAAAGCTTCCTTACACCTTAACTGGCAACTTGTATGGTAAAACCTCACTGCCTAACTGCACAGTTAGATGAGTAAATTCATGGCAGTGCTTTGTGTGGGTGGGCACTGTACTTGTATGGGAAAAGATATAAGGGCAGGAAATTGAAGGATTTAAGGAATATTTGCTAATCATTCTCATCTCCCTATTTTTATCTGTACCTCATATACTTATGCTCCATCATTCTACCCTTTTGGTTTTCTCATTCTCTTTGTTCGTCAGTTAATAACTTATTTGGCATTATAGCTTCATCTAATTTTCCTGTCACTAACCACTGTCTTTGCTATTTTATCATCAGTCTTTATTCCCTTTCAGTTTATTTTCCTATCTGAATTCACTTCAGGGATTTCACCGCTTTCTAGACAATTTTTCAACAAAATTAAAGAAAGGAAATATCAGTGTTGTGTCTTTAAGTATAATTTAAGAAGAAAACTAAGAGTTTTGGTCAGATCTTCTAATCTATATGAAGCTTACAACAAAGGATTATCTAATCACAAATCATTCTGGAAAGTGCCCTCTAGTACAATGTAGAGTGCATGATGTGTTATTTATTGAGCTTTTAGTCATCAGTGACATTTCATTTCCAAATACTACATTAAGTATGTTATGCCTCAACTCTAACTCAATTTGATATAAACAACAGCAAAGCAGACTAAGTGAACTCAATAATCACTTCCTTTCATTGACACAACAAAAGCAGTCTCACAGAACAAAGATACACTGGAGATTCTGCAGTTCTAAAAGTTAGATCCCTTGATACCTACATACTTGATATGATCTGACCTAAAATGGACTTTTGCTTTCAGAGGCATAATTTTATCATTCATAGAACATACTCTAAATCTCACAGAGGAGACCATGCTTTATGCCAAAAAGAGGGAATTCAATAAACTTCTTTTGATTTAGGATGACTTCAGCCACAACAGACAAAAAGGAGTCACAGTAAACAATAAAAATAATCATGAATGAATCAGATCATTTTAAGGAAACATGAGACTATGAACTCTAAGGCTATGAATTCCTGCAAGCAATGGAATCTAGTTTATTAGTAGAAAACATTTAAATATCAACATTTTTCATAACACAAAATAAAGACAAATTTTATATTTATTACACAGCATCTCTATATTTAGAGATAGTATCACTCCCTAGTATTTCTTGCTGTATATATGAATTCATATATACCATTAAGCATATAAATTCAAAAATGTTTCTGTCACTATAGTAATCTCGTTTTCACTCTTCTGTGTGATTTAATTTGTCTTTTCTTTGGCAGTTAATTTTCTATTCATTTTATTTTAAATTCTGCAATTGATAATCAAATAGATTTATTACTGCATTTGATGTGTTACAATTTCTTTAAAAGGTTCACAGGAATATTGTGCTTTAAAGTACATTAACCTATTTTGTAATGAATGCACATCTATTACCAATTGTATACTTCTTTTAATTTTTATATGAATATTTTGTGTCATATATACATATATATGACACAATAGATTCTATAAGTCACAAAATAACTTGCTGTCTTAGTGCATTCTGTATTGTCATAGAAGAATATTTAATGCAAGGTAATATATGCTTTCTTTCCTTTTCTATTGCTGTTGTAAAACACCAAGACCAGGGCAACTTTTTAATGAAAGCATTTAATTTGACTTCTAATTTCATAGGGTTAAAAGTTCGTCCTGGCTGAGCAGCATGGCAGCAATCAGCAAACACATTGGCTAGAGCAGCAGCTCACAACTCACATCTTAAACCACTAATATGAACCAAAGATACACACTGGAGATGGCACCAGTCTTCTGACGCCTCAAAGTCATTCTTAAACTCCCAATTACACTGCCGTCTTTAAAATCAAAAAGCAAGTTACATGCTTCCAATATATCCTGTCACAAAACAGACATTGTCAACTCAAAAGTGAAGACTAGGGCCATAGGAAGGAAATAGTCCACCACACGGGACCAAAATACAGCTGGACAAACTCCAAATCCTATATTCCATGTCAGTGCATTTAGATGGATCTACCTTTGCTGCTTCACTGCCATCATTGTGGCAGATTCCATTCTCTGTGTCCAATGTCCTTGTCAGATGTTTAGTGGTGCTGGCATGTTCAGCATCGTGGGGTCTCCAGTCATATCCGGGCTTCATATTTGCAGCTTAGGCAATGGCCTGTTTATGCTGGGGCTCCTGTGCCACACATTGCCTGGCCCTAACAGTTCTCTGAGGAGATCGATAAGTAGGAAGCAGAAGCAACAGGGCAATGGCATGAGTCTTTTGAAACCTCAAAAGATGCTCCCAGTGACATACTTCCTCTAACAAAGTCCACCTCCACTCTAATCAATCCCAAATAGTTATTCAAGAGGGGGACTCAATATTCAAGTCTAGAAGCCTATGAGGCAATTATCACTCAAACCACCACAGCAGGTGAAGAAGAGAGGTCTATTTCCTTCAAGGTTCTAGAGGCTGAGAAGCCCAAACAACATGCTGCCAGGTCATCTGGTACACAACCTTCTGGATGCAACAAAGTTTAGTAGAGAAACAGGGAAAACTAGAAAATACCCCAGTTAGAACTCCTTTAGTCTCTGCCAAAGATGAAACATTTTGACATACTTATTTTTCACTAGATTTTATTTCCTGGAATACATTCATCTAGCAAATTGTAACAGTGAAGGTAGAGCTTCCAAGATATGATCCTCTAAAACTCAAAAGTCCAGAGACAAAACCATTGTATTTAACGTAAAAAAAAAAAAAAGAGTTAATTTAACTTATGCAGGTCACAATTATATAGAGAGACAGGATGCTTAGTGGAAAATATTTTAATTTATATTTTTATTTTATTTTAGAATTTTATACATGAGAACTACATTTATATCATTTATCAATCCCTTTTGCCTTCCAATTCCTATGTCCCAACATACTCAATCTTAAATCTATAACTTCTATAATTTTCTTTGCTATACATATACACTAAGGATAAATAGAACTAATTAAAAACATTGAAAGAATAGAATGCTACAAATTAGATTAAGTTTTAAGTAAAATTTTGCTGAGTTTATAAAATTTAATGATTTAAATGATATACCTCTATGTTGGCCAGTTAGGGTACTAAAGATAATAGTAGTAGATGTATCTTATGAAAAATGTAAAGAAAAAACCAAGAAACTAAATAAATAAAGTCTGTTTAAGATATCAGGTCAACTGGTACTTTTAATATATCTTTTGTCACATTTGTCATCTTTTGTTTCTTTTTTTCTAAACTTTAATTGGGACTTATTTTATAATCTATTGTTTGATTTCCCATGATGCTTTTGCCTTAGTGCATCAACTTTGCTACATTTGTTGAAAATACTTTTTTGCACAGTTTGCCTTTTGATTTCTATATTGTTTTGAAGTTAAATAGGTTAGCTAAGGTATAAGGCTGCTTAGGTCACTTCTCTGAAATTTTCCAACTATTTTACAGACACTTTCACAATCCTTGAGCACTTATATTTTTCTGCTTGCACTTTCTTCATAGAAATATTTTTATTAATATCTTTGGTAGATAGCAGCTAGATAACCTTGTACCAGTTGGATTCACACACATTGTGGTCTGTCTATTCCCCAACTTACAACAAATAAAAAGAAATTCCAGATTAAACCTAATAATATTTACTTCCTTCATAGTTGTGTACTTCCAGATAATAGAAATTCCTTCTTAATATGATGCGTTTGAACTTGTATCTGATATCCCTTTTCCCTATACTCCTGAGTCATATATGCTTGTAAATGTATAGTTATTTCTTCCTTACTTTCACCATATTTGATCATGTCAACCCCTTTATTCTGAAGAGATTGCCTTAACTTAAACCTCTGAAGATTTTTTTTTGTAAATTTTTTATTGATTTTATTCTACAGTTTGTTAAATAAACCCAAATTATTTGAGGTATAACACATTTGAATCTGCTAACGGTAATTTATAGTATTTTTGAGAAACATATTAATTAATGTTTAGGGGTATTTTCATAAATGAGTTAAAAGGCCATTGAATTGGTTAGTAATACAAATAAATATTTTTCTGTATTTAGATAGTTTGGTGTCAGTAATAGTAATATGTTTTTATTCCCATAAATAGAAAATACTCATATATGTGTTTAAAGTAAATATTCTTAATGCCTATGCCAGTAGATACTCATTTCAAATTCCTGACAGAAATCCAAAGATAATAATAAACAGTCAGACCTTGACATTATTAAATGATACATGAGACAGTTATGCTAATTTAGCCTTTGACTTATCTATCATTTTCCATCCAAAATTCTCTTTTGAAATGAAATTGCCATTTTAGTACTTTGAAATGTGACTGTATATAATTATAAGAAAAAATATTATATTTTCAGAGGAATTATAGAAAATATAATCCTTATTTAATGCTAGAAGGCAAGAATGAATAAAACATGATCTACTTTTTGGCAGTTAGTTTGATAAAATATCCTTCACCAAGGTGATAGGTAAACCTCATCTCAAGTTTGGTTTTTATTTTGTTTTGTTTTCTTTGTTCTATTTTTGTTTTTATTGTTTGACACGGGATTTCTTCACAAAGTCCTGGTTAAAGATCCAATTACCTTTGTCTCCCTAGGGCTGGGGAATAAGGGCATGTACCATCACTCATCACTACCATTTAGTTTTTAACATGTGAAAAGGGCCTAACTTTTAATGGTGTATGTGATAGTACCTTCTTTCCTATTGTCTTATTTTGCAGCAAATAAAAGTGGTCATGGTTTACAAAAATAGTGCAGCTGGTTAGTACTGCAAATATACGAATACAGATGGAAATGAGAAGGAGGAAATTTCTCAAACACTTCCATTACATTAGTGGTATTGTGGACACATTCTGTTTTTGCCTTGTGCAGGTGATCAAAGCAGTGGAAGAAGGCTACCGCCTGCCAAGCCCCATGGATTGTCCTGCTGCTCTCTATCAATTAATGCTGGATTGCTGGCAAAAAGATCGAAATAGCAGGCCCAAGTTTGATGAAATCGTCAACATGCTGGACAAGCTGATACGAAACCCGAGTAGTCTGAAGACACTGGTTAATGCATCAAGCAGGTACAAGACCAGACTTCAATAATCTTTCCAGAGTATATCTGACCAAGTTGATCTAATAAATGTTTCATTAAGTAATTTATGTATTACTACGGGAATCTGTATGACAATTGATTTAACTATAAACTTTCATAATATTTTCCTCTTGAAATAAAAAAGATATATGGAATTTATACCTAAAACATCTTTGCCTAACCTATTTGTGTGATATGTCGTTGTCGAAAAGAGAGTACATGCTTGCTGCACTGAAATAGCTTTAGAAAAGAAGATCCAAATGTTTCTAGAGCATAGGTTCAGGTAGAGAAATGAGATTATAGGAGCTTAATTAAGTCCCGATGCATTTTAAACTAGCTATCTAATAGTAACAATACATGGATTCTTTAGAATATATTTTAGTATTGGTCATTAGCATATGGCTGTATTGTGGCATTCAGTTTATGAACATTGATGGCTGATAGGACTCTTCGCCTTTATCTGGTTGTACAGAGATATTTGTTAATAATTTATTATTTGGTTTGAAGAGTTAAAATTGGTAAATGAGTAATTTTGTGGAAAATATGTACAAGCCAATAACCATATTTTCTACTTTTCTGAATTGCAAGAAAATGTATTTAAATAACATTGGATATTTGCAAAGTACTTTTTCCTCTTTAGCAGAAAAAAATATCAAAATATTCCCAGTAATAAAAATCAAGTTGGTCTCAAATTAGAAAATTAACTAAATTATTGGCGTCAGTGTCTTTATTGCCATTGTTTTTGTACAAGAAAGGAAATCATGCCAGTAGCGGAAATGGCTGTCTATTAAGGTGAATTACATGAAGTTGTTTGCTTATGATGAAGTTACATAAATTCAATGATCTTGATGCAACACTTGTTTACTAAGTATTTCAACATAAGTCAGAAATGAACCCTAAAAATCTGGTGAGGTATTTTGAACTTTCTATACTAACAGTTGGAGATTATATCTCCTTAGCAATTATTACATATGTTTTTTTTTCCCTAAATATCCTTTTAAATTCCTTATGGTGATGTATAATAGTATTAAGTCTGTCTCTCATCTACTTATTTGAATGATGTTGAGGTAATTGTCACAAATGAATCTAAGGTGATAATTAAAAAAAGTTCTAGTGTTCTAAATCATATTAATTTTTCCTTAGGCATCTTTCCTTACTTTCTGAAACATGGTGTATAGGATTTTCTTATATATAATTTATATAATTTAACATATTATGCTTGTGCATAGAGTAAGCATTCACTATGTACTATTCACTACCCATCTTTAATTAAACAGTCACACACAAGAACTAATTCTGCAAGGAGTTTGCTCTTCGATATCATCCACACTCACTTATATTACAAGATTTGATGAATCCAGTAGCTGTATAAATTATATTTGAATATCTCTTTGTAGACAGAAGTTTCTGTTCTGCCCTGTCCCACAATTGTTCAGTTCCAAAGAAACACACCGAGTCTTATATTAATTATAAACTGTTTGGCCAACTAGCACAGGCTAATTTTTAACTAGTTCTGGCAACTTAAATTAATCCATAATTCTTGTAGTCTGGATACAAGAGTTGTGTTGAAGATATGCCAATTGGTATTGAGCACCATCTGATCACTTGTTCTCTGAATTTTGATCAGTTGTGGATTTCTGTAATGAACTCTTTGCAAAGAGAAGTTTCTTTGATGAAGGAAAAGATCTATATTTTTCTATAAGCTTTAATATTTGTAATGCCGTTAGTAATTATGTTGCTTTCATAAAATGGCAGTTATTATTTCTTCTCTAAGATCCACGATCTCATTAACCCTGAGTAATTGGGTAGGCTTCCAGTACCAGGGATGATTTCCCATTTGTTGAATTAAATCCAATTAGAGAGGTGATGATTTCTACCATGATGTTAATATTACCACTGCACACATAGTGAGTGTTATTGTGCAATGAATATTCTGTAATTCACTGGCATCATCAGTTGTAGGACTATCGACCGCTTCCTACACTTGCATGCTTCCCTGACTTACGGCAGAATGAGACTTTCAGATCAGATCATGTTTGATCCTTCAGGTTCTGTGTCAGAACTTCATGGTGCCTTTAGTCATACAGATTTACCATGAAGGTTTCTATAATGAAGTTGGTGATAGATGGAAAAGAATTGATCAAATATAAAACTTTTAAGTTATATGGATAAAATGTCCTATGATAGACTGTGAGGGAAAACGAAAACAAGCAAAAGCTGGACTATTGTATCAAATACTGTAATTGGAAACAATAAGTTGGTAGAGAAAATGAATTTTATTCCGGCTATGTTGAATTCATGTTTGTATGAGAAACCTGGAAAACTCAAAGCAAGCTTATGGCAAGCTGGAGATTAAAACTTTACATAATGAATTTAATATAATATAATGCCATCAAAAATGAACAATGAAAACTATATTTTTTTCACAGAAAATTTACTAATTTCTCTATTATAAGCCCAGATCCACAGTCTACAATGAAAGTCTAAAGGTTATTTTTGTTTTTCTCCCACTTCTATTTTGAATTATTTATTATGCAAGTGATTGTATATTTCCTCATAATTTAATTGTCCCAAAGATTCTTTGAATTTGACTTAACATTGTACGTACAGATCAAAATTCATCATTTGTTCCTTGCAATATTTCTGTTTTCTGTGTTTTAGGGTATCTACTTTGTTGGCTGAGCATGGTTCTCTGGGGTCAGGGGCCTACAGATCAGTAGGTGAATGGCTGGAAGCAATCAAGATGGGCCGGTATACAGAAATTTTCATGGAAAATGGATACAGTTCAATGGACGCTGTGGCTCAGGTGACCTTGGAGTGAGTAACTTTTCTGATCATTTTTACATAAATGGTGGGGCAAGAAAAATATATGCAGACAACAGAGTGGATGCAATCAAGGGAAAGCAGTAAAGCTGTGTCCTTATGTGGCCAATTTCAAAGAAGCCTCATCTTTTTTAGCCTGTATTATTAACAGCTGCATGGTTCATGCTTCCTATGACCAGTAACTTTGCGTTCTTGTGCATCAAACAAACAACATTTGAGTATTTGGATAACTGGAATTATAACTTCATGGCAAAGTACTGGTCCTTTATGTTGTGGAAAATTGTTTCCTTGATGAGTTTTTATACGGATACTTATGTTATATGAATGTAAATATAAAACAAAAGAAACTGTAAGCACAATTGGTGTGGTTAGTCCTGTGTAACAAAAAAAAAAAAACAAAAACTGAAAGAATATACCCCTAAATGACGGCTTTCTGCAGTCAATATCCAGGTAACGGCTTAAAGCTTAAACCAAGTTTCTCTGGCGGGAAGCTCATTTAATATCCACATGGTGCAACTTACATTCTTGAAGTCTCAGAATATGTTAGAGCCTGCCTCTGATGTGTTGTTATTTGGTACAATCTCAGTGGAACCAATTGTGCCCTTTTCTGTTTGCACGTTTAAGATACAATTTAGTAAATCCTATTAAATAAAACTCACTAGAGCTAAGTATCGAATTGTTTAAGGCTGTAAGTCATTTGTACTTTATTATATACTCTTTATGTGTAATTATTTTAGCCAAATCATTATTTGTGAAATTAATAGTCCTATTATTGTGGTTCCATCTAGATTAAATCTAAATTAATAATGTTTTAACCTGGCAAATCATGATAACTGACTTCACATGACCTGTGAATTTAAAGGTTAAAATATTGTTATAAGAATTTTAAAAGGTTAGGATGTTCTAAGTCACTAAACCACCATCTGACCTTCATCTCAATGTAATATCGATGCTCAGTGGTTCTGTAGACATCCTTAGCTATCATTTTGTCCTGTTTGATTCATTCAATTCATTGCTCATCACCACAAAAGGTAACAGGGTACCATTACTTATTATGGACTAATATCACAGCACTGTCTTCCTTCATACTGATAACTAAACATACATAATATCCCAACCACTTGGCTTGCTTTCTTAGTATACTTAATACCATTCTCAGAGTTACTATTAAATCACATCTTGAAAACATCAATGTTTTGTCCATTATTTATTGGATGCTCAAGAAATTTGTTTGTGCTGTAGTTAAACAGTATACTAAAATATATTCCTGATGATTTAAAACTATTTTTACATAATTACTATTTAATTTTTCAGTAAAAATGGTCATTTTAATTTAATAAAGTCATTTGTCATTTTATATTAAAATGATAACTGTAGGTATTTCTTCTACCCAATGTCAGATTTCTTGTAAATACATAATAAAATTATTTGCATTAAACAATGTCTCTGTTTTTATTAAGAGAATATATATCATATACATATAATTAGTTCTGTCTTAGTTTTCTTTATTCTTTCACACACAATTATTGTTAAAATACATGGTTTCCTGTTTATTTTTAAAATTTATTTTGGTGAGTCTGTTACCTTCTTGTAGGTTGCTCTATTTCTCAGGGACCTCAAAATAGTACAAATATATCTAATATTATTGTCGCATGGTTTCACTTTTTCTTATTTCTTGAAGTTCTTCCCTGTTTATTTCTGTAACATTTAAAATCTCTTCAGTATGTGTGTACTTTCTCAGGTCCTAGGAGTCTCTTCTAGTTTCTCATAACTACTCCTTTGTTAACTGGCCTCTTTCAATTTACCTTTCAATTCGTTTACTGGAATCAGAAGAGTAAAGTCAAAGAATTTTGTTTTATGTAAACTGTTTCAAATTAATGAGATCCATAGTCATTACTATAATCATTACTGAGAATTAGGCATGTGAACTCTATCTGCAAAGAAGATAAATTTTTAGAGAGCCTGACATTATTAGAAGCAAATTCTGTTGTTTAATATGACTCTTTCTGACCGCAGTGTACCTAGTTAGTATGCTTCATTTGTCCAAGTATCATTTTAAGTTTAATACAAAATAAGGAATCATCAATTGCTGGCTTTGGTCAAGGATTAAAAAAGGTAATTTGCACAGTATTTTACTTTAACATAGAGAAATAAATAAAACTGTCCTATGCCGAGAAAAAAACACCCCAAAAAATGAGGTCATCACACAACTAAGTACATGCTCTTGGGCATCCTGATGACACCTTTGGATACCTGGACATCACCCAACATCTAAATATTAATTGTATCAATCCTTTGAAAGACTGTAATAAGATAATACAATGTTATTCCTGGAAGTCAAATAAGGGACTGACATATTTATAACTATGTAAATGTTTAGAAAAATGTTAAATCAACCAAAAAAGCAAATACACAAACTACTGTACATTAAAATTGTGTTTTACTGCTTGATAAATTTGAGTGTATATTAAGTTTAAAAATATAAAGATTGAAAACAGTTCTCCTTTTTATAACCATTGCTTCAAAACTACCTCAATAATGGTTATTTTGCTTTTCAACTATTGGCCAGTACATATATGAAAAATACAAACGAAGAACTCACATGTCTTGAAGTAAGGCATATTCAATAAGGATAGCTTTGAACTTTCGATGTTTCTGCTTGCTGCATGTCTTCCTTTCCCAAACCACACTGTTCTGTCTGTATACAGTGATGATATTTAAATAGTTGTTGCATAAAAAATGGCAAGACTGTAATGTACAAGTGCAGTGAGTTACTGTTGACATGGGAAATTGTGAGCTGGAGGCAAGTGGTTAATTGAAGCTAAAAATTTCAAGTAAGGATGTGATCAAAGTTGTTTTGTAAATTTTTTTTAGGCCAGTGCTGTCAAAACTTGGTTATTCAGAAAATGAGTAAAATCCAGTGAATTTAAATATTATACCAATTTTCTGTAAGCTGAATAAATTCCTGTAATAGTTATAAGGATGGTATCTTATGATTCTAAAACAGCAGTTTTCTAAACTGCATCCCATATTTGTGAAGACTGACTCAAATAGCTTCACCAACCTGTGAAGGAAGTCATTACACATAATTTAGTATGTTCTCAAAACATGTATAGGAGAGCTTGCTATTCTCTATGCTGTATGCATTTAAACTAATATTCTGAGAGTAATTTTTGCAAGGTTTAATCTCTATAAAATAATTTAATATTCTCTTGATAAATATATTTGCCTTGAACAGTACCTAATAAGTGGTTATTCATATTTTTAAAAGTAAACCAGAAAAAACTGATAGCACACAGCTCCATTTTAAAACTGATAAAACTATAATGTTGTGTGGTTGAGTGAATGTTCATTAGTGTTGCTTGTCCCTTCTACTATCAAGGCAGTGAAGATGAGGTTGAATCCCACTAAAAATGCTAAAACCACAACGGAGAATGAGCAAGGGGATTCCCCCCCCTCTGTCTCTCTCTCTCTCTGTCTCTCTCTCTGTCTCTCTCTGTGTGTCTCTCTGTGTGTCTCTGTGTGTCTCTGTGTCTCTGTCTCTCTCTCTCTCTCTCTCTCTCTCTCTCTCTCTCTCTCTCTCTCTCTC